GCACACCTGTAATCCCAGAGGCTCTGGAGGTTGAGGCAGGAGGATTGTGAGTCCAAAGCTAGCTTCAGCAGTGAGGCCCTAAGCAACTCAGTGAAACCCTGTCTCTAAATAAAATATAAAAAAGGGCTGGGGATGTGGCTTGGTGCCTAAGTGCCTCCTGGGTTGAATCCTTGGTACAAAAAAAATTGATTTGGGAAGAACATGCCTCACCATCAGGGTCAACTGATGACCACAGATCTGTAAGTTCTCAGGATCAGTTAATTCAAGAATATGATCCAGTGTCCCATTTGCTTGGACACCTAATTTCCAGACTGTAAAATATGAGGAATAATGTAGGTCGTGCTTTATTACTTTTTCTCTTTTTTCTTTTCACTTGGCTTGATGACTCACATTCCAGATGGTTCTGCTCAGTTTTAGAATTATCATGATCTACTTTGTAGAGAGGGGGGAAAAAATAAGACATTTTGTGTACAGTACAACTTATGTAATTTATTTTTCAGGGAACTGAGAAAACTATAACACCATGTAGGAGAATTTCTGGCTTCTTTAATATTAGAATAATTTTAGTTTCTATCATCGGAGGCGTGATTTACTTAATTCCCTGTGTTGGTAATAAAAATTTACATTTTTCAAAGAATATTTTTAATGATATGGAAAAACATTCCTCAAACAATGAATATTTACAAGCACAAGATATAAACTAGTATAGACAATGTATTTCCCATTTTGTTTTTCCAAAAGGTCAATGTGAGTTTTTTTTTTTTTTTTTAAGAAAAAAATGCCCCCAGATGGTCATTTTATCATCTGGAGGGCAGGTTGAAGTTTTAAAAAATTTAACTTCTTTATTATAGTCTATATTATTAATTTTTTTCCCTTTCATGTCATTCACTGGGTAGAGCTTGAGCTAGGAGCCTGGAGCCCTCACTGTGTGGATCTGGTCCCACCACTGTCACCCAAAGTTACTAAGGACAAATCAACTTCCTTTTCTTCTCTATGAAACATGCCTTCTCCCACTCCCAGGGACACTGCCACATTTTGGATCTTAAATATCCTCCAAAGGCCCATAAGCTAATGACTTGAAAGCCAGCCTGTGGTGCTACCGGGAGGAAGTAGGACTTTTAGAAGGTGGGGCCTAATGGAAGGAAGTTACGTCATGGGGGGGGGGGCATGTCCTTTGGGCGTGTCCTTTAGGGGGATATTGGGATTCCGACCTTGTCTTGCCTCCTGCTGTTTGCTTCTTGGCTGCCAAGAGATGACAGGGTTCCTTCTGCCCTGTGCTCACTGCCTGATGTTCTTTCTCCCCACACACCCCAAAGCAATAGGGCCAAAAAACCATGGACTGAAAACTCTGAAACTGTGAGATAAAATAAACCTTTTTTCTTTTATATGTTGATTAACTAATGAACTTTGTCACAGTGACAGAAACCTAACACAGACATTATCAGGACAACCAAGAAAATTTACTAAGTCCTATGCTTCAGCACTTTCGAATTTACAAAATAAAGGCAGTAAAAGAATTTAATGAGCTGTTGTAGAATATGGATGACTGGGCTTTTCTGTTGCTGACAAGTGCGGATGGTCAGAGTTCTTGTGTAAACTGCTCTTGGCCTTGGGAGGAAACCCAGGTTGTAACAGGATTGCTACATTTGTTGGTTTGCATTAGGTCATCTCAGAGCAGGAAAATGGGAATATCTCACTTTAGGGCCCTGACCCAAAGATCACACACTCTGGCAGATCCAGGCTTCAAATGCAGCCTACCTCTGGAGCTAGGTACCTACACCTGGCCTGTCGGTGGCTAGGTAAGCATCTATAAGCCATCAAGAAGCCAGACAGAGGCTTTTTCAGGACCTAGTTGTAGATCAATGTTCTGCCATATTTTATGGTTACTGATAAAATGATACATTGATTTTTAAAAAAGTGATGACACATGTTTACTGACCATTCCCACAGAGACCATCAAACAGGGCAATTTTTTTTCTATGATGTAGCAAATGAGTAGCATCACTATTTTGTAGATTTTTCTCATGGTTAAGCATTCATGCTATTTTAATGGCTTAAAAAGGCTTAAAAAAAGTTCAACTAGTTCATTTTAATGCTTTCTTTCATCAATGATACACAGAGCTTCCTTGAGCACACAGTTTCACCCTGACAGATTCAAATACAGAGACTCTAATCCTGCCCACCTAAAATAGGAGGAGCTGGAACTTAGAATAGAACATTCCTCCAAATGGAAAACAGCTCAGATGGTTAATGCAAATGAGGAATTTCAATTGGCTTCAAATGGAGCATAATGCAAAATAACCACCTCACAAATCACTTTCTTTTATATCTACTTACCAAAATATTTATAAAATGTCTTTGCAGTGTCGTACCTAACTAAGCCTCTTGGTGTTTATTTTCTCAGTAGGATTATCTTTGTTTTTATACAAAGCCTGATGTAATAACCAAGGACTGACTTTTAGAAAGTAGTCTCTCATTCTTTCTCTGTCTCTGTCTCTGTTTTCTCTCAACATACTACCAAATCAGTGTATAGATGGGGGACTAAGATATCACACAGATTATTATTGTAGATTATGGATGGTCAGTTCCACAATCTGATGTCTGTGCTCTGGTATTTGACCTTCTTTCTTGAAAAATGTACATGTGAAACTTTGACTTATGACCAAGGAAGTCGAACTTTTCCTTTTGAAAATAATATACAGCAGAAAATGGAAGTCTCAATGGAGACTGGTGACCTCCTGAATCGTTTACATGGGAGTAAATAACTCCAGGGCATTCTGTAGTGCTCCAGTCAGAACAATCTAGGGGCACATCAGGCTTTAGGAAAAACTCATTCCTTTAGAAAATAATTTCAATATAGTATGAGAATAGGAAGATCACTGAAGTGTGAAGAATATCAAAAAAGATTGACCTATTTCAAGGAGAGCCATAGTGCTTAGGAGAAAAGTAAGTTGAAAGCTTATATACATATTCATATAGATATTCTCTAGGGGTTCATGCATTCTCAGGAAGACTAAAGGGACGGGGGGGGGGCGGGGGGGGGGGGGGATAGCTAGGGGAGATTAGTCCTGTGTGTTGGCCTCATTCAGAAATAGCTTGGACCAGTTGGGCCAGTCCTGCTAGGGAGGTCACTCCCTTCTTTGGCATCTGCAAAGCTGGTCAGTTCCACGGATGTGGAAGAGAGTGAGTGTTGAATTTGGGCACTAAAGTTGTTCTTTGAGGTTGCAATAGATACTTTGGAGCTATTTCCTGCTAGGAGATGACCCAGATCTTTAATTGTGGCTGTTGTGGGGTGAGTTGTGTCCCCAAAAAAGATAGGTTGAAGTCCTAGCCTCCAGTGGCTGCAAAAATGACCTTATTTGGACACAAGATCTTTGCAGAGGAAATTAAAACTGAGATCATACTCTAGTAGGGTGGGTCCTGAATCCAAGGATCAATATCCTCAGAGAGAGAGAGAAGAGATGAGAGGAAACAGTCACACAGAAAGAATATCATGTGGTGATGGAATTGGCCTGAAGATGTCATCATACAAGGAATGTCAAGAATTAAGAATTGCTGGTAACCTCCAGAATCTCCAAAAAGCCAAGGTCAGATTTTCCCTCAGAGGCTTCAGAGGCAATATGGACCTGCAAACACCTTCATTTCAGACTTCCAGACTTCTTTTGTTTCAAGTCTCCAGTTTGCTTTATGTTGTTACAGTGGTGCTAGGAAACTAATAAAGTGGCTAAAGTATGTTCTGTAGCCTCTCTTCCTTTTGTAATCCAAGGATGGATTTGACTTGACCTGAAGGGGTAAGAGAACTAAGTAAATTTGCTTTGGGAGTGGGCAGGTAGATACGGATAGATTCCTCCATGGTGAGTTAGAGGAGCAATATACACCGGTGTCAAATCCAGGCAATACGTGGCCAGAGTGATTTCAGAAAAGAAAACCGAGAAGCCTGGGAGTCAGTAGGAAAGTACCCCGGCAACCCAGTTAGCCCAAGGCAGCCGACAGTGGTCTTTGGAGGGAGGGAGTGAGTGAGGAACTTTCTTCCTTTCTACCTCTGGAGTCCTCAGTAGGGCAGGTGGAGAGCCAGAGAAAATCAACAGAGGTGGCATGGAGGGTCTCCAAATGTGTGTTCATGGCTACAAGCATGTTCTCTGTCTGTCTGTCCCCAGAGAGGTATCAAAGAGCAAGAGGTATCCTCTCTCAGATTGTATGGGAATGGCTGTTCTGAGAGACAATAGGAAGGAAGGAGCTTTAGGACAAGGGTAGGGCTCAATTCTTGGATTCCTCACAATGTTTCTAAGACCCACACAAGCTGGGTGTGGTAGTGCATGCCTATAATCCCAGCGACTTGGAAGTCTGAGGCAGGAGAATCACAAGTTCAAAGCCAGCTTCAGTAACATAGCAAGACCATAAGCAAGTTAGTGAGACCCTGTCTTTAAATATAAAATGAAAAGGGCTGGAGATGTGTCTTGGTGGTTAAGCACCCCTGGGTTCTACAAAAAAAAAAAAAAAGAAAGAAAAGTAAGATCCACACAAGATATTCCATTGTGTGTCAGGGGGATGTATCCCAATGACAGAGCACTTGACTATCATTCTTGAGGCCCTGGCTTCAATTCCCAGCAACACACACACACACACACACACACACACACACACACACACCACATACACACATATACACATACCACACACACACATACACACACATCTGTGCTTTTCCCTACTGCCTCCCTTCCTCTGATGTTTCCATTTACTTTTAAATCACTCAGCTTAAATCATATGTATCTATGCAGAATCTCAAGACAGAAATTTTGCTGGGAATAACATAGGCATGAAGGTCAAGGAAATGTCAGGGTGTGCTCATATTCTTGTTTTCATATTCTTTGGTGCCCACTGTCTTATTTTCTTAACATCACTGAGAGATCTTTTTACCAAAGGACACGCATTAAATATCTTCCTGCCTCATCACTCCCAAGCCCAGGCAGTGGATTTTCCCCATGAGAACAGCGTACCTTCTGAAGAAATGCACCCAGATCGGAATGGTATATGAGTCTGTCCTAGTCTGGCTCTAGAAGAGAAATGTTACAATAAATAGGTGGGTGGGATCTGCTCCATAATCACAAACCCCACCAAAATTAGCAGCGAGAACAAACTAAAAAAACTTAACTTTACCATGATATATATATTTTTTCTTTACTTCCCAGAAAAAAAAAGCCATAAAAAGAAAATCATGCAGACTTATTAGTTTTAGTTTGTTACACACCACAATTAGTTACCATTTGGTAATTAGGTAAAAAAAGGTTAACTAGGGATGTTTTACCCATGGTTATAGGAGGTGGGAGTAAAGCAGACAGTGTGCTTGGCAGCCTCAGAGATGTTCAGCTGATTTATTTTCTCTTTCCTTGGTCCTTACTTAATACAAAATTCTTTTAAGAAAGCTTCGTGGGCAACCAGTGATCAGTATTTTAATAGAATGGAAAAATGCCATGTAACGAGGACCCTATGTTAATAACATACTTCATGCTGGCCATTAACAACTCCTCTTTGCTCTCCCAATCCTTTCCAAGCCAGTGTGGAGTGAGACTGGAGAGGAGAGGGACATAAGGCTAAGAGGGAGACAACTCATCTCTTGCATCTTCAAGTCAGCTTTCCAAAGCACTCTCCTCCTTTCTGCACCAGCACTTGGTGCCGCCATAACTTCCTTCCAACTCAAGTTAATTCATTGTGTGTGGAAGCTCCTCTGTGTCCCTCCTTTGTCAAAAATAATCTTCCTAGATTTTTCTTCTCTCTCTGCCACTCATCTTTCTGTTGCCCAGATTCTTCACTCACTGAAGATCTCTTTTTGCGGACTGGTCTCTGCAACATACAGGGGTGCACCTTATCTGACCCCTTAAGGATTTAATATGTGCTAACGGAAGTTGAGCACACTGTCTCAGGTAAATTATGTTTTAAATGGGTTTTTGGACTTTCTAATTGGGAATGTCCCCTATAGTGGAAACTTGAGAGCAGGAAGGAAACAAGGGTCATGGGATGTGGGGCAGCTACTTGGGGGCCAGAGGGAACTTGTGAGGCATTATTTTCTCTCTTCATGAGCCTATTTCAAAAAATATCCCTGATTTTATAGCAAAAAGCAATGCATGTTTCTGCAGATAAATCAATCCTCTGGCAGCAATAAATACTCCATTTTGGCATTCTATCAGACTTGCTTCAAATGAATTACAGTAAACTATTTTTTTCCCTTCTGGAAAGAATAAAATTTACAGATATCTGCAGATTTGGGAAGAAAGCTTTTTTTCCTAAAGGGAACTAGTCTGACCACAAGGAGAAAAGGGCAAAGTACACACACATACACACACACACGCACACACACACACATGCCCATGTAACCCTCCCTCCAAATCTCTTCCAGTCTTCATTCCATTGAACTTACCTGTTTACATATAGTATCAGAATATAATTTCATTAAACATTCATCTGCTTCTATGTTAAACTTTTGTTGAATTGCCATCTCTGGACTCTATCATTGAAATTTTCGACCATCTAAAGGTGTGTGTGTGTGTGTATGTGTGTGTGTGTGTGTAATTTTGTCCCTTTAGCCTAAAATAGATAAAAATAAGTATTTTCCTTACAATAAGTACAATCCTCTACCATTCTGAACATGCACCTTGATTTAGTTCATTTTGCAGTTGCAATGGACAAATACTATGGAAAATGATTAGAATCTGACATTCGAATATAATCCTAATGTTGCAGAGTTCCCAGAAACACAATTATAATATTCACTGCAGCCAATGCTTACTGTGATTATAGTGTGCTAAGCTGTTTCCCAAGCTCTTATGTTAAACTAGGTTATTCTTCCAATAACACACAAGGTAGGGCCTGTTATTTTCTACATTTGCAGATGGGAAACAGAGCCATGGCCACTGGCAAGTTGCTCAGGTCTCAGTGGCGGGGTGGGCCTCCCACATAGGCAACATGGTGCCCAAGTCAATGCTCAGACACTATCTGCTACTTCTGCTGCTGTAAGTGACCCACTATAATAGTCATAGTAATTTTTTCCATTATGCTTTTTGAGAGCTTGGATACTAAGCCAATGAAGAAGTAATCTCAATAAACTTTGTGGTTTTTGTCCTACTCAAAAAGGGCTCCCCTTCATGAAGATGTTATAGTGTAAGCCTGGACATGTATTAACCTCCACACCACCACCCAAAGAATTGGTAGAACCTAAGGCAATCATAGGTTAAAACACATAGTAAATCAACATTCTCATTTAAAAATCTTTCCTGCCACTATTCAGGTAACCTAGAGGTTAATGAGCAGAGACGTTTTGTCCTAAGGGAAAGTAGAAAAAGAAGGGGGTTTAAGAAGCTTGAAGCCAATGCCATTTAACCACAGCATTATCTTTTGTTTTTATACCTATAATGGTATAGAAATGAGGTTTCAGACAAAATACCTTCTCAAAAGGGAGCCAAAGCTTGCTTAGCTATAGGCATGTGGTATAGACGGTGGATCACACCCTTCCTTTATCATTTTCTAGAGTTCTTGGGGTCCTCTTTAGCTCAGGGTATTCTAACACACCCAATGACCCCAGCACTCTCCAGGACCATATTTAAGGTATATTCATTTGTTTTTGCCACTTACTTGCCCCAAAGCCACTGAAGAGTCTCACCCTCAGCAATGACTTGGAAAATTAGGAACCGATAGTCCTTATCAAAGTAAATTGAAACGTTCCCTAACAAGAAGACCTGGTTCATTTACCTAACAATCCCATACTTAAAAAAAAATTATTTTTTTGCCCCATCGCTAACATTTTTATTCCAAGTTAACATGTCAAACAAAACATAATGAAAATGTCTGAGTTCTGGGTTGTTTTTAGCATTATCTATTAATCTGAGCTTCTAACCTTCTTAACTAAAGAATAGGAACCAACATAAAGAACTGAGTATACTCCCAATTCTCCCTTTCTACAATTATTTAAGTGCCTTAAAAGCACAATTTCTTTCACTGTCTTTTAAGGTGCCATAGAAGGAGAGATTGATTTTCCAATAATTGTTTAATTTTACTTGGAATTTTCATTGCTTTCAAGTTTCGGATTTGGGACTTAAAGAGGCTTGGTATAGAAGAGCCATCCTTGGCCCAACCCTGACTGTCAGCTGATGTCTGTCCCAGGACTGTCAGGGAGAGGAAGATGGTGGAGGTCCAGAAGGAATATCAAGAGATGGGAACCACCCTATTGCTCAACTAGTGTCAAGAATTTGTCTGCTCTTTTCATTTAACCTTGGTCTTCCCTAGGTTGGCCGTACTGTTTTAGGAGCAATATGGGACAATGTGGGAGCAATTGAAAAGAAATTAAGAAAAAAAAATTGGGAGTGGGGGGGGAGAATTCTGCCATTAAAAAAAAAAAAAGCAACTTTAAAACATTGTCTTGCCAAAGTCTAGATGGTCCTTAAGATGGTTGAGAGTTCAGAGGTTCTGATTCTGAAACCTGGGTGGGAAACCTGTGTGAGCAGCTTAGTACACATCCTGGCGTCACCAGACAAATGTTGGGAGGGCAGCTGTGAGGAATTGAAAGGACTTCCCCCCTGATAAAGCAAAATATCCACAAAATTAGGTTCTGTTTACTATCTTGCTGCTACCTAGACCTCCTGTTGAGCTCTGAGGCAAAATGGAAAACCATTTTAATAGTCCAGCAAAATTTCCTTCCCATAAACAAATCTTTCCGCACTCAGAGTCCAGAAACACACTTTGTTTATTGCAAATAGGAGGCAACAATGGTTTACTGGTTCAGAGCAAGTCCACTAGTCCCTCAGCGATTTCTATGAAACAACTTCATGAAGTCTAACACTACAAGATGAAAAGACAGTGCGAGAAGGAAGTTGCAGAATTAAGAAGGGGAACGAACTGCATCTCATGAGTTCTAGCTTGTCTTCTCTAACATCTGCCTACATATGTCATTACAATGAGGCAGGCTGTTGGTGCAGCCTGTAGGACACACAAATACTTTGCTGGCCTAGATGAATACATCATCCACATTTAAAGCAATTTTTGTGTAAATGATGGTGCTGTTAACCTCCAAGGGTTATTCAAATGTTTTCTGAGAAATTGGCTTCTTTGAGTTCTTTCTTAGAATGTCACGTGTTTCGTTTTTGAGCAGCACAGAGTTGACAGGCTAGACATGGCAGAGTTTAGTTAATTAACTAATTCCTGTCAGGAGAAGCAAAGTGATGGGATTCAGAGAGCGGGTCCCAGACAAGGGATTTTCCTTCATCCATAGCAGAAAAAGAACATGTTGCGTGGCTTTGTAACTGGGCAAGTTTAGAAATATTTTTAAGCTTTCTGCTTTGCCAAGTGTTTCATAAAAAACTATTTTCTTTCTATTTCATGCCAAAAAATGTCACCCCCTAAATATTTTTTTCCCATAACTGGCCACATGTCCAAGATTTTCTTCTTTTCTAAGAATAAATAATTTTTCTTGGTTATAAAAATGCCACTTGTTCTATCAGATTAAACATATCTTTATATAGAAAAAGCATTTAAAACATTCTACCAGTGAGCCTAAGGAAAGAGTCTTGCTCAAAATAATTTTGTTCAGTTAATTTTGATGAAATGAAACATTTTGAATTCTGTTTGTGACTCTCGATGGAAAGTTCAGGCTTATTTTGTAACCCTCTCAATTCTACTTTTTCTCTCTGTCCTTATTCTATCTCATTTTACTAGAAAGCATTAAATAAGAATTAATTCCTGTCTTTGACCAAAATAATACCTTGGAAACGATATCAGTGCAAGGGAAATCACTGGGTTCCATTCTTAATTTGCACAGTTAGCTGGAGTTGGAAGGGTTCAGCTGTCAAGGTTTCAAGAACTCTAGCATTAAAAAAAAGTGTGAACTTGCAAATTAGCTGTCAAGTTTAATAGAAAGTGAAAAATGCAGCCAAGAGCTGACTTATTTCCATTCTTTGTATGCTATTGATCTTGCTTCAAGGTAAAGCACAGAACACTGAAAAATAGCAATTTGTATGAATTAGTTTGGCATTTTCTTTTTTACCATATAAAAAAGATCATTATATT